AAGAATGGCACAATCTTGACCTTTTTCAAGCATCGCTCGCCCTCGCCGCCTCCAAGGAAACGAGCGCCTTCTCCACCGCATGAGGCTGTACCAGAGGATAATCCAGACATTGCTGTACGTGTTGGACGCGTCCGTCGCGTCGTGACGCGCCGCATTGCACCGCAATCGCGCATAAATCCTCCACCCAGACATCGCTAATGCCATGCGCTATAGTTCATTGTAATGTTTCGGTCGCGCTTCAACGAAGCCTTTCCTCGCGGTTCGCCTCACGTAGGGCCCCAAGACATCGAACAGGGTGTCGCGGAAGAGACGCCGTCTGCCGATGTCGAAGGCTTACTATGCGCCCTGCTCGGGCTGGTCCTCAATCGCAAGAAACCTGTCGAGTCAGTCTGACCCCTTCACTCTTCACAAATCCATATTCCCCGGTCGCGTAGGCCTTGCAGAGCGGATGGTATGGTGCACACGCTGACAAGTTGTGTGTTCTACAGGAAAGGTCACTACGGTCGCGCCCTCGAAGAGGCCATCCAAACCCAAAAATCACAATGGCCCACCAAATGGACTGGCAACCCCCTCAGTGGCGGTCGCAACTTCAACACGATGACAGCAGAAGAACGGGTAAGTCGCCGTCTATCCTGATCTCGCCAGATGCTAACTGTCGCCCAGATCACCCTCCTCCACTCCCTCTGCCTCTGGAGCCTCAACCAGAACGAGCAAGTCAAGGTCATGATCAATACCGCATACAAGTCTCGCACTACCAAGGACAAACAAGACACAAACATCCCGTTGTCGGTACAAGCGTGGGGTCGCGATGGTGACAAGCGCCGGTACTACCTAGTCGAAGGGCAGAACGACACCCACTTTCGCATCTACCGCGAGAGCGACCCCAAACTCAAGAACGTACAGTGGATCAGTGTCGCTGGCTCTATCGATGAGCTAAGAGCGCTTGCGACGAAGCTGGAGGAAGTGGACGGACACAAAGAGGCCAAGGCACTCGGCGAGCGTATGCTCAACGCTGTGCCACGCTTCGAGGCTTCAGAAAACGTACGTACTTGCGCAGTATACATATCATCTTATGCTAATAACCCTGCAGAAACGCAAGCGACGAGAGTACACACGTCAGCGCAAAGACGCGTTCACGCGCCCAGAACTCGGTTTCTCCCTATACGAAGGCCGCACCCGTGGCAAGCGCCAACGATACACATTTGACGAAGAGGATGATTTTGACTCGGACAATACATCTGTACGTCGGTCAGGGCGACAATCAGGCCGCGACACACCCGCTGCGCCTTCTGGTCCTACTGTCACCGCCAGCGGCCGTCAGGTCCGGTCTCGAGCAACAGGCTTATACGGCGAGACACTACTCAGTGGACAAGTCACCGATCACCCATCGCCTGCAACTGGCGATTACGTCCGGTCTGATGTGTCGGAGGAACCACAGTCTGGCCCTGGCCGATCAACCCGCGCCGCCAACAGGGGCACTACCAACGGCCGCTCACTGAACCGGACAGTAGATTCCGAAGATGAGGAGGATGCGACATCTTGGGATGGTGGAGATGATGACGAGGAAGAGCCAGATCAGATGGAGCTCGACGATGATGAAGACGATGCGGCGGAGGATTCATCAGATGAAGAGGAGGAACCACACAGCCTCATGGTCACCCTGCGTTACCGGAAAGGCGCAACTGATGGCTCTGCTGCTCCCAATCAAGACGCACCCATGGCAAATGGCGTCGACCACGATGCTACAGTCGCGACAGTAGCCGACACAGGCGCGCCAAAACAGCCCGAGATTGCGCCTGCTCCAGAAACCTCAGCCCCTACATCCGAGCCCACTTCCACCATGAACGGCATCTCCCAACCTGTCGTCCCCGTTGCAAACCAACAGCTTCCAACAGGCAACCCAGAAGCGCTCCCCAAACTCGATGGCTTCTTCTCCGCCCCAACACCGCCGTACAGTGCCCCCGAGGAAGCACCCAAACACCAGACTCCCGTTGACATCTCTACCAATTCTTACGAAGCACCTCCACCACCACAACATCCCACACCTGCTCCTACCGCCAGCTGGCAATAGATCTGCCTGCGCACTTAATTATAGCCGTTTGCTCATGCATGCTACACATCGTTTTCCAACTCCCATGTGTGGCTGTCTTCGATTCAATCTTATCCACGTTGTTCTTTTCTTGTCCTGTCCCCTGTCATAGCTAGAGAAAGACAGATACCCATGGCGTTTTCCAATTCTTTACCTCCTGTACCTGAAGATGGGAGGTGAGATTAAGGTGTTGTCTCTCGTTGGGTTAGCGTTGTGTTAGGCAAAGTCTGGGCTGGGATGTCTACAGTTATATCGGGTGTTGCTCATGAGTGGTAGACAATGGCACTTTTACATGGTGGAAGTGATCTTCTGGGTTGCTGGGGTACAGATACTCGGTGTGCACTGAGGGTTATGTGGGAGGAGAAGTTCAATAAATGCAACTTGTGTTGTCATTATGAGCAGCTGTGCGATTGTGTTGTGATGCGTCCCGTGAACCAGGTACATGCACAGTATCGTGAGCTTCATATTTAGCGAAGCTCACGATACTGTCAATGTACCTGGGCATACGTCTTGCTCTAGGTACATTGGGTTTCGTACTCCGTCGAGTAAATATGGACCTGATGTGCCGAAAGCAAGACGTATGCTTTCGCTCCACAACGCCGCCGCCGCTACTGGTATTATATACATTCAGTCATGTCATCATACACATACATCCATTTCACGCTTCACCTCGGTAAAGCGCCCGGTATGGCTCCCGCAATGCCCGTCGTAGTCCGACTCTGCAGTTTGGGTCTACCAGACCCCTTGGGCCGGTCTCTCTGCTCGCCGCGCCACCGCATGCCGTCTTCCCGGGTATTCCTACTCTGGCTACGAGAGTCTGGTGCACTGGGTTTTCTAACCCCAGCTCTGATCTCCGCCTCTCGCATCTTCTGGCCTTCTGCTTCTATGCGCTCTTCTAGGGTGGCGTTTTCGGCGATGGGGCTGGGGATGAAGGATGTTGAGCCGGGAGCTGTGCCGTTTCCTTCCATGACGGCGATTTCGTCGTCCTCATCCTCTTCGTTCTCGCCGGCGGCTGCGTCGGCGTCTTCGGTGGCTCCGCCTCGTGTGTTGTGTTTGCGGGGCCAGAGTGAGGGGAGCACGATTTGTTGGAAGCGGGGTTCTACGGCTCGCTCGTCAAACCAGGCGTGGACGCGGGACTCGATGAGCTGGGCGATTTTGGGTACGTCTTGGAGGCGTGATCGCGAACCGACTAGGGAACGCACGGAGAGGTCCAGGCGGTAGTCGTCTAGGAAGGTGAAGGCTAATGTCGTGGGACGGTGTGGTGGTGCGCCTGATGAGGAAGCTGGACGGCTCGGCGAGGAACCTCGGTGTGTGTTTGATGTTGGCGATGGCATGGGCGCGGTGGTTGGTGGAGGCGAGGAGGAGGGTATGAAGGACACGGCGAGGGTCCCTGAGAATCGTACAATGCTCACAGCGAGCGCGACTGGCAAAACTGCGGACATGGGTTTCGGCCAGTTCAGGTTCAGTGTCGTCTCTACGCCGATGGTAATGACATCGCTCAGATCAACGTCCATGCGCGCTTGCAGTCTCTCCTTCTCATCTGTATTGCCTGGCCCGTACCAGAATCCGTCTTCTGCTGGCATGACTCGGCAGTTGCTGAAGATGGGGAATTCATCCCCCAATGCTATCTCCGTCACCCTGATCTCGCCAATCCAGTCCGGCTTGCTGCCCGTGTTCAAGATGTCGGTGAGCGAAGTAAGGATTGCATCGTCCTGGCGTGCATCGGCCCTCAGCTGTGCGATTGTTTGCGCAATGAGCACATTGAACCAGTCTAAGCTCTCTGGTTGGTGTCCCTTCACGTTGTAATACGTTTTCGCGAGGATAGTCTGTATGCTTGGACCTCCCCTGCTCTCCTCGCCTTTTCGTATTATACTTCTGGATGGTTTATGCCGTAAGGAGAGAGACGTCGAGTTTGCGCGCGTTCTCAATTGCTTATACGACTGTTGGTGTGCCAAAGTTCGAGCTCGGCGGAGCGAGTTGAGATGCAATGCGCGGTCGTCGGCGGACGGTGGCTCTCCGAAGATGAAGAACTTTATGAAGCAGAACATCAAAATCGCAATCGAGAGCTGGCCGAGTAGGAAGCCTTGTGTGAAGGAGAGTCTGTAGTAAGTTAGCGGGGTCTCTGCAATTGATGGGCAACTGTACGATGACGAGCCGCCCTGTGTGACGGGCAGCGCCACGGGCGTGGGCACTGCTTTGACCATAGTCGCGACTAGAGAGTTGCTACCGCGTTGACAATTGCATGTTGGGTGTGGATGGTGATTTCGAGCAGAGGCAGACAGACGTAATTGTGCATCGGGACCTTGGAAGGATGCCGACCTAGCCATATCGATAAGCCTCCTAATCACTCCACGCCCATCTCCGCAGCCCCGAGGTCTCTCCAGACCCAGAACCGCGACGAGGCACGACTCTACCTAGGATGCCCCTTCTCTCCAAGGTTGTCACCTTCAGGACCCCCACCAACCGCGCCGCTGCCATCAAGGCGAATAGAGTCATCCGATCCATCAAGAGCAGATACCGCGCCCAGGCCTTCCTATTCCTCGCGTACCACTTCTTCCTCACGTCGCCTATGCACCTCGACATCTTCATCATGTTCTTCATTCTCGTCAGCAACTTCATGAACCGGCAACAGGCCTTTCCCAGCCAATTGGTCATCGAGGGACTCCGCTTTCTGATCGACGAGAGGAGGTTCATCATGCCTTGAGTGCTAGTCCTACCAAGCCTCATTCCCGACGCGATACGGGAATACCCTGGATTACTCGCGTACACATATCAAGTGCGCGACGTGGCTTCGTTGCCTTCACCTGAACCAGACGGAGATAGCGGCAGTTGCAAGTCCGATTGGTTGCCAAGCTCCCCACCTCTGGACCAATTCAAGATCGCATACCATTGTAGCGTCTTCAACCTCCTTATGGATTTCGATACCCAAAGTCAGAGCCTCTCGCCAGGCGCTGCAACTCACAACCCCAATCTCATCCTTCCAGCGACCTGCGACCCACCATCTGAGCACAACCCGCCCAAGCGAGCAGTATGGATAGTAGGTCATCAAGCATTGTTGCCTTGATCTCGATAGCTAAAATCTTCCTGTAGGTCTTCGGAGCGACCGGTCACATGGGACGATCCCTCGTTCGAGCGATACTAGCGCACGGCGACCAATGCACCGCGGTGGGATGGACCGAAGAGAACACACCTGAACAGATGGATAAGTGGAAGAACAGAAACTGCTTGGGTTTACTATGCGACGTGAGAGTACGCGAGACAGTGGATCAGGTCATCAGGAAGAGCATCGAGTACTGGGGTCAGGTGGACGTCATAGCGAACAGCACCGGCTACGGCGTCATAGCAGCATGCGAGGATCAGGACGAGTACGACCTACGCAATCAATTCACCACAAACTTTCTCGGAACCCTACACATCTTGCAACTCTCCCTCCCCTACTTTCGCTCACAAAACTCCGGTCGATACCTCATATTCTCATCCACGGCTGGAGCCCTTGGCGTGCCTGGCCTCGGCCCGTACTGTGCGACCAAGTACGCCGTGGAAGGGCTCATAGAGTCGATGTTGTACGAAGTCGATATATTCAACATTAAAGCAACACTGGTCGAGCCTGGACATGTTCGATTGGACGAGCCAGATGACAACATATTACCACCCAGCTATACTTCCATGCCCGTTCCAGGAACAGGTCCGCCGAAGCCGAAACGTTACGGTCATTTCTTCGTGAAACCGAACCCCAGCGAGCCCTACTCGGGACTGACAAGCCCCGCGCAACACGCGCGACGGATGGTACAGTGGCTGAACGACCGACAACCGGTGAGCGCAGTGAAGAGCGCAGAGCTGGTGTGGCAACTGGGTCATTGCAGCTATCCTCCGTTGCGCTTGATTCTGGGTAGCTACGCCGTGGAGAGTATTCGCGACAGACTGAAGAGCATCACTGAAGAGGTAGGCATTGTCCTTCTTGCGCTGCGCTTAACATATTGACTCTTCCCAGATCGAGGACTGGAAACATCTTTCGTTCCCTGTTTCTATGCCTCCGGAAGATGAAGATGGAAAGGATAATCTCAAAGAAGAGCAGGAGCAAGACGACGAACAGATGCAGGATTGAAGAAGAACTTCCGCTATTGGTACAACTGACGCGCGGAATCCCCATGCTTGTACGCTTATACGATACCACAACTTCATATCTTATCGCTTAGACACAACGCGACAAACGACACATCGGTTCTTTGAACGTTTACAGTATTATGATATGGTTACTCTCTCCATGGATAGGTCGAAAGAAACGAGACCAAGACCTTTCTCGGCTTACAGCCATCGCAATTGGGTCAGCTCGCTTCGCATGCTGTGCCACCTTGATCTATCTGTATAACGGGATTATAACACACGATGCGAACTTGTTTGCTGCTTCCTTTGTTGCACGAGGTTTGCTTGTTACTTGCTTACCGTGCTTTCTAGATGCATCTATTACTACATCTTCCCCCTTGCACCATCTGGAATCTTTCGATTCCACGCCAGACTGCTGTCATGGACAACGAAATCCGACCGGCCTGGCAGTCCCCAACTGTTGCTCCCAACTCTCCTGTTACTGATCGAGAAAGTTGGAAGACCGCCCCAGGCTCACCGAGAGAAGACTTCAGATTCAACATTGACGCTGTTACTGAGGAATGCAGAACACATTTCAGTGATGTTGAGAAGTCGAGTAGAGAGCCATACGTACCGAGGCGGGATTACAACGAAAAGTTTGACCATGCCGGACATGATCCAGATATCGACGGCATCGACTGGAGACCTGGCTTCAAAAACCAGTTTCCATGGATCGGCTTTGCGGGACTCGTGGTCATCTTCGTGGCAACTGCTACGGCTGTCATCATTCTGGTCTCTTCCCACAAGAAGCGAGTCAAGGACTGGCCATTTACGAGGTAAGACTAGCAGACACAGTTTCGTCAGGTTGGTACTAATGAAACAGTTTTCCGGCCCAGCCCAACGTCCTTCTGAATATCGCGAACCAGATCCAGAATCTGGGGTTGATCACTCTGGTCAGCCATGGACTGGCTATCGCATGGTGGAGAACAGCCTTGCGCGGTAGCTCTCTCCATGTGTTACATAAGAATCACGCATATTCTTACAGCTTCTACGCGATTGTTACTTCCGGTCGATACTTCAACCTGGTGGCCCTCGCCGCACTTATGACCAAATTCGCTGTTGTCGATAGTACCCTCTTCCAGAAAGCTACGAGGACGATTGTAACTCAGCAAAAGGAGTACGCCAATTCCACCATGACTGGATGGGTTGAGAGAGACTGGCCGAAGAAATTAGGAGGTCTTCCCGCACGAGATGGCACCACCAGACTGAATCTTGCTTCATGGGCCAGCGTTCTGGATGCGTACAACGGCAAGCTCGCCAACGGGAAGGTGCATGACGGTCTCAACGATACTGCGTCTTTCTTCGAATGTCCATATCGCCAGGAATGCAGTGGTGCCGTTGAAGGTCTAGGGTTTGCGTTCAATTGCACAAGCGATTACCAACAGGTTGACTATGGATTAGAAGAAGCGGGATCCTATCCGCTATGGCATGTCAATTTCAACCCACAATGGGCAACCGAAACGAAATCATACGCCAGCATCAATCTCGAGATGTTATATGTTGATAGCCGAATCGGGAAAGACGACTCGTGCCCGGGTCGTAAGACTACACGCACGTGCGAGATCGTGCCTGCAGTCGTTCAGTATCCAGTTACTGTCATGGTACCAAGCAAAGAAGAACTTGATGGCAAGAACATCGTCACACACATCAAGTTCTTCAACGCCGATGCTCCACGGCCCATCGGAGCTAATCTCAACGGGATCAGACAAATTGATGGACTGAAAGTTTTAAAGACCGTCAGTCTCGACGAAAGAATCGAGGGCTCTTCCACAGTCGGGAGTCTGGCCTATATCATGAATAACCTCTATGGGTCTTCGGTGAACCTCACTTATGACAATGGCTGGGATCTTAGTTCTCAAGGTGCTTCCACGCAGACTACATTTTACTCAGACAACGATGAAGTAATGAAGGACGCCTGCTGGTTCAACATCAACAAGCCTGGTCGGGATGATCCTACCATCGAGATGCTGCGCAAGCTTAACACACTGAGCTTTGTGACTGCGTTGTACATCAAAGGCGCCCCTACAACCGATAGAGACAAACGCAAAGCCCTCGGCATGGCCAGCCAAAACATCACCACATCAATCACCGGCATCGTAGAAGAATACCTCACCTCCTCCGCCTACGTCTACGGCGCCCTCGCAGCAACCTTCATCACAGTCATACTCGTCCTACCCGTTTACTGGGGTTTCTGGCAACTCGGTCGCAAAGTCACTTTAGGTCCACTAGAGATCTCACAAGCCTTCGGTGCGCCCATCATCGCGCCTGACAAAATGAAAGCATATCATGGCGACTTTGATCAGGTGCTTGAAGATGTTGGGGATAGGAGAGTACAGTATGGACAACTCAAGAATGCACCGCCGGGGCAGATGGGGCTTGCGGAGCCGGAGAGGGTAGTGGTGCCTAAGGCTTGTCATCGGTGGCGGGTGAGTGGGCAGAGGGAGAATAGGAGGATTGGGCTTGGTGCTGTCTTTGGGGGTGCGGTTGCTGCTACTATGTCGGGGAATGCGAGGGATTGAGTGTAGTTTAATGGGATGTTGTAGGTAATACGAGTGCGAGGCAAGGGCGATATGCAGTCGTCCGGAGCGCAGCATGTGATAATCAGCAGAGAGCGACTTAATGTATAGTAAAGAAAGGCGAACCTAGTTGGAGAATGATGCGAGCGCAAAAAGACTTCCTCCAGTCTCGCAGACTTCAAGTGTTTGTCATCTCATCTGCCACGCTTCGCTGCTGCTAGCCTCGCTTATGGCCACGCGGCGGTCACGCCTCAACCACCGGCTCAAAAACATACTCCATCCACCACAACGCTGCTACGACGTGTAGAATGGCAAAAAGAAAGGCGTGTAATGCATCGGCCGGGAATCGAACCCGGGGCTAGCCGAAACTGTCCTGTGAAGGATGGCAACGGCTAATTTTACCACTAAACCACCGATGCGGGGATCACTGAAATGGATGATTTGATGGAAAAACAGCAAAATTGTCTGAAAATATACCAAGCAATGACAGTGGAGACATGGCAAGAGCTGTGCATCCGTCTCTGTATCCACAGTCTGGGTGCGGGATAGCTCGATGCATGAGCCGAGGATGATCCACCATCGACATCGGTCTCCACTAACGGCGTCTAGGCTATGGCGTGTTCGTCTTCTCAATCACGTACTGATAATCAATGGATAGAGAAGTCTAGCAAATACTGTTACTGAGCATTGATTCAGATAGCAAACACGTTCCTGGAATCAAAGACTGCCCTGTCTTGCAAAAGCTGTCACTGTTTTTGCAATACTGGACAGGGAATCCCAACTGCAAGGCTTCACATTCTGCCTGATCTCGCGCGACTTCCATCGATTCATACCTAGATAGCAATCGAAACGGCAAACTATTCGGCAACGTGACTCCTCGCGGCAATCGCACACGGAGTAAGAACGAAGCTGGAGAGCCCTTTCCAATCTTGCTATCGCGCCAAGCCGGTGCGTTATTGTTGTACCTACCTAGGTGGGTAGTGCATAGATCTCGTACTACATCGCGGAACAAAGCTTGGTATCCGTTTCCCCAGCGTGCTCCAGATCGTCGACTTACATAACACGACCACCGATATACCCAGATCCAGTGCCTTTATCGCTGCTGCGCAATGTTCCGTCCTGTGGTAGCCCAAGCCAGACCAGTCCTGGAGTAATCCGACCCACAGCGGAGGTAATTCCGGTGGAGGATTCGACTTCTTCACACGCGACATTCCGCGAAGAACAACACAGTAGCACTGTCTTCCTGGTACGTATCCTGGAGTAGCAGGGGCTAGATAGATAACACTTCTGTATCTGTGTGTCGCTCGACAGAGCGTGCAGCACATGGTCATCAACATCTCGCACTAACCGAACTTGGAAGGTACATGCGATGTTCCGCCAGAGGGCATGACGGCGGTACTGCTTCGCGTGTTCGAACGTATCATCAACGTCTATCATCTAATATCCCCGCTTCTACGCTTAGAGATACGGGCTCGGCAGAATGTGTACGTCTGTAGATAAATTGGATCATGTCCCTCCAGACTGGACGACTTCTCTTCCACTCCATCTACGCCACACCAGCTCCGGGTGAAGACAATATCGTACCGCCTTCCTTCCTTCAAGCATACACTACACCATGGCACCTCATCCCTTCAGTATCCTCAACATAGAGGAGACACGTATTGCGCGTGACACCGTCCTCTCCCTCCACAAAGACTGCGTTGTCGACTTTCGAGAGATCTTCCTCCAAGAACCAGCAAAGGAGCTCATGAAACAGTACCTTGGGCTCGAACATGCAGCAAAGCCAGGACAGTCACCAGCTTCCAAGCGGCCACCGCGGTTGGCAAAGTGCCAGTACGACGTCATCGGCTCAGACAAGATACCAGAGTACCACGAGTCTGTTATTGATGTTGAGCAGAGGAAGAGGGTACGACACGAGATTGTGGGAAAGGAGAAGCAGGCTGCTTTGACGTTGTGGGAATTCCAACATCTTGTCAAAGCGTGTGAGGAGAGTGATATGTTCAAGGAAGCTATGGCTGAGATCAAACTGCCTGATGGGTTTGAGTTGGTCGTTGAGCCTTGGTAGGTACCCATGTCGACTTCAGTATACCACGTTACTAACGATCATAGGCCATACGGTGGTCTCGATATTGGTGCTGAGAACCGAAGATACTTCCAGGGTCTATGCTTCGCCCAGGACATGAGGAACGGAAACGCCGACTCAAACTTCTACGCCTACCCCTTACCGCTGATTCCTGTCATGGATGCACAAACAAGAAAGATCATCCGCGTTGATCGTCTAGCTACTGGTGGCAAGGGCGATAGCCTCACAGGTCAGACGCACTCCGAGCGCGTTCTGGACCACTGCGAGGGTGCAGAATACGTTCCCGAACTACTGCAAGGCGGTCTTCGACAAGACGTGAAGCCCATCAACATCACACAACCAGAGGGACCTTCTTTCAGCGTAACGGACGAGTCACTGGTTGAGTGGCAGAAGTGGAGCTTCAGGGTCTCGTTCAACCCCCGTGAAGGAGCCGTACTGCACGACGTCAAGTACGATGGCAGGAGTATCATGTACCGGATGAGCATCTCAGAGATGTCGGTCCCGTATGCTGATGCTCGTCCACCATTTCACCGCAAGCAAGCTTTCGACTTCGGTGACGGAGGCGCTGGCAACTGTGCCAACAACCTTTCCTTGGGCTGTGACTGCCTCGGTGTGATCAAGTACTTCGACGCAGTCGTTGTTGGTAACGATGGCGAACCAAGGGTCCACCCCAACGTAGTCTGTCTTCACGAGCAAGACAACGGTATTGGCTGGAAGCATAGTATGTATCCCACAATAGCCCCTCATACAAGACTAACTCCCCAAACCAGCCAACTGGCGGACTGGCCGTGCAGTAGTAACCCGACTACGCGAACTCGTCGTCCAATTCATCATCACCCTAGCGAACTACGAATACGTTTTCGCCTACAAGCTCGACACCGCCGGCGGCATAACCCTCGAAGTCCGCGCCACGGGCATCGTCTCCGTCGTCAACATCGACCCAGGCAAGACGTCCGACTACGGAAACGTAGTCTCCGGCGGCGTCCTCGCCCAAAATCACCAACACATTTTCGCAGCCCGTACGTCATCCTCAATCTCTCCCAACACAAGAATCACTTACCTAACCACCACCCACCAACAGGTTTCGACCCCGCAATCGACGGCCACAAAAACACCGTCGTATACGAAGAATCGCACTCGACCCCCATCAACGCAGCCACAAACCCCGCCGGCAACTTCTACGAGATCCGCAAGACCGTCATCGACAAATCTGGCGGCGTAGACGCAAATCCCTTCGACCACCGCGTCTTCAAGATAATAAACCCGTCCAAGACGAACCCCAAATCAGGGAACCCCGTTGGTTACAAATTCGCGCCGCTGCCCACGCAGAAAATCCTCGCCGCGCCGGGTAGCATTCAAGCGCAGCGCGCGCTCTTCACGAACCACCACGTATGGGTGACCAAGTACCAAGATGACGAGCTGTATGCTGCAGGACGGTTTACCATGCAGAGTCAGTTGGAGGAAGGGGGTGTGCACGACATGGCGGCACGGAAAGACGGGGTTGAGAATGAGGATTTGGTGGTGTGGAATGTGTTTGGACTGACGCACAACCCGCGGGTGGAGGACTGGCCTGTTATGCCGGTGGAGATTTACCAGGTGCATTTTAAGCCGAGTGATTTCTTTGAGAGGAACCCGGCGATTGATGTGCCGAGTACGAAGAACCAGGCTAGTGTGTTGGTGGAGAAGGAGAAGGGGTGTTGTGGTGGGGAGCAGAAGCTTTGAGTGGTGCTGAGGGGGGGTTTTACTTGTTAGTTGGATGTATGGAGCATATTCAATGTATACAGCACTTTTGCATCATTGCCCTGGTGGTTGCGAAAAGGTAAAGCGTGGTTCATGCTACACTAAACTACGATGCGCTGCATCTTCCAAAAGACTAAACCAATCTGATAGTCATCCAATCGTAAGCAGTGGTATACCAAACGCCAATGTACTCCAAAGTCATGTATGTTTGTACACGGGTATTTACACGCCCCAAGCGCCAGCGACGGCATTGAGAGCACCGTCAACAGCCTCCTCCAGGGTCTCGACCCTCAGTCTGAGCGAGCGGTTCTCCTCTCGCTCCTTTGCCAGACGACCCCAAACAGCGGATTGTGCACCGCCCTGGCAATTCGCGCATCCCCATCCGCCTTTTGCGATGTCGACTTTGCCCTCTTGCCTCTGCTCATATGTGCTTCCGCGTTTCAAGGGTTGCGGCTTGCGTCCCTTGGGTGTGATGTCGTGAATGTCGGTGTCGAGAATGGAGGAGCGGTCGGTACCGGTGGGGCTGAGGCAGCTTCTTGAGAAGACGCTTGCGGCATCGGTCTCGGCTTCAGACTCGAAGCCGGAATCGACGCTGATCTCCGAGCCGGAGACGCGGTTGTGACGGCGGGCGTTCTCCTGGCATGAAGCGTGGTCGCACTGTGGTGCGCCTCTGATGAGGGCTAGACTCCTCTTACGAGCTGCCTCTTCCTCTTGACGAGCCTTTCGCTCAAATGCAAGGTCCTCCATGAGGCTTCGCATCTGCTCGTCTTGCTCAGCTGCCTTTGCCGCCATTGTCTCCAGCTGCATCTTCAAATGCCTTGCTCGTGTCTCAGCCTCGTCAAGCTCGTCATCCTGCGCACTTTGTTCGGCATGTGCATCTCCCAACGCGGTAGAGAGTTGGCGGTATGCAGTCTGGTAGCGAGAGAGCAGCGCTTCGGCGTTGGTGAGGAGGTCGTGGAAGGACGAGGGTGCTAGCGGATCGGCAGGTCCGTGTGGGAAGAGCGACTGCGAGATGCTCAAGTTGAGGAGCTCATCGTCGGGATTGTGGTACGTGGGAGACTGCTGCGGAGGGGGTACAGCGGCGTTCTTTTGTGTGGACAGCAGCCATGCGAACTTGCTGCTAGTGGTGGGCTGGCTCGGGGCCTTGCTCGGGGTCTGGGTGTCGTCTGATCGTCTCGGG